ACTGTTCTCAGTGCTGTTCTGTGCAGAGGGCTGCTAAGATCATGAAGGCTGCAGAAAAGGTTTTAGGATTCTGCTAATGATGCCTAAGCATTTCTCCATCGTTTTTCATTCAAAACTTCAGCATACAACACCTGAAAACATATAGGAGAGGGCTGATGAGTGAATATTTTAGTCCTAAGACAGACACTTGCTGCTAGTCTGTGGTAGGAATGGAGATGATGGGCATGAAGAGAAACTGCAATTCRTGATAATCATKGAGAAGGTCACATGAGCTCTACAAGTAGAACCCAGGGCTGYTTCAGATGTCCCAGCACATGAGTGTCATTCAGCTTGAGAGCCACCAAGGCTCTCCGGACGCCAAAGATATTTACAGTCCCCGACTCCTCCTGCACAGAAGTGCCTGCAAGTGAGCATCTTCACATGGGGTTTTTCCATTCTCCACTTCCATGCTGGGTCATCAGTGCTGTTACATTAATACAGGCATCCATACCCACTGCGAGTCCATTAGAGCTTCCTGGATATCAGAATGTGGATACAAGGCAGGCAAGAGAGGGTTGAATACCAGCGGGGAGAGACAACCAAGGTTCATAAGGGGTCAGGCGGGATAGCTTTAATAAAGGGCTGACACAACAGGACACATGGGAGCCCTGGGAACCGCAGGGAGAAGTTGCCAGTTGGAGGTTGCTGGAAGAGCAGATCAGATGCGCAGGTTTATGTCCAGGCAGAACTAGATTCATGGTTCCTCMAGGGCCCTTAAATCTTCTAAAACTATCTCCTCACCTCAGCTGCTCCTGAGTAGATCCTGTCAAGGGAAAATGGGAAATGCCTTGCCTGGTGCTGATGGGAATTTGGTCAATGTGTAGTGTCTCACACTGCGCCTGCTCCCAAGTGCTCTGATGGTCAAGGCCTCCTCGCCAGATCTTCCTCAGCTCTTCTCATCACATACAAGAATCTTCCCCATGACTTTCATGTCCTTTCTAGTCCTTAGAGAAGAGGCAGAGGGATGTCCTGTTGTGTAGCAAGGGGCTGGGTGGGAAGCAGCAGAAAGAGGGGGAATTATGAGACACAACACACAGAGGTCAAGGCAAGTGGTTTGCTCGCTAAGAACAGACAGAGCTGGCGTGGACCTAGGAAGCAAGGTGGTGGTGTGAGAGGAAGGAGGGAGGAAGGAGAGCAGAAGGGAGCCACCCAAAGCAGGACGCATGCTGACCTGTTTGTTCCAGCCCAACAAAAAGCCCTACACCTTCTTCTCCATGCAGAGCAGCAGCTAACTCTCCTTCTAAGCTCGTCTACACAAGGAACCAGGCTCAACYGTGAGGATGTCAGTGATGACCTTTATRCCATCAGGTAGGGCCTCCCTGTGGACTCTTCTGGGCACTCTAAGGCCTTGCAGCACAAGGATCCACCGCGGCTGTCCCCAAGGTGCAAATCCACACCGTGCTTGGCATCCCAACCAGTGTTCCCTTCGGGAACAYGGAATTCTGGACTCAGGGAACCTGGAATTCCATGCCATTCTGGAACATCTCATTTTCCAGATGCATCATCACCTTTTTCCTCCCCATGGGGCAACATCTACCTTCTCCCAGGCATCAGAAAACTCCTCATTTGCCCTTCCAAAATGACTGGGACTACTGTCAAGGCACAGCGAGTACTCATAGGACTTAATGGCCTGAGCAGCCACCCCTGGGGCCTCCATGCATAGCTTCTGCCTGTGAACCCAACAGAGCAATTCCAGCTCTGCCCTGGGCCTTCCCTCTCTCTGCGTTGCACCGAAAAGTGTTTTCCAGCTCAGTCTGGGCTGGGTATAAATTCTAGACTCTCTCCACCCACTGTTTTCACTCAAGACCCCTTAACCACAACCCAGCTTGGCTTGAAGAACACACTGCTCTTATCTGTGGAGTCAGGCTCTAGGAATACCACCCGCCCCAGTCTTTTGGCTTCTTTAACCTGCACATCACACAAGAATTTATGTTTTTGGATGTGGGCATCCTGTATCGCAAGGCAGTATCCAGGGATAGAGGAACAGGTTTCCCACTGGCTGCCACCCTTGGCTCCTCTTCCCCCAGCCCTGCTCATTTTCCAAGTTCTTAGTTCTGCAGCCTGCAGAGATCAGGTTGGACCAGTTTGCTAACCTCCTCTTTCTCCTCTTGGGAAGAGGAGGATGGGTCACTCGTGGAGATGGCATTTCCCACTCACACTCCACTTTGACACCTTCCAGAGCAGCCAGAATTGTGGCAGGGATTTCCTCCCCTCATTGATGGAGTTGAGCACTATCTCCAGGGGTAATCCACACTCTCACATTCTGCCTCTTGATCCCCTCCACGAGGACGAGAGCGGCCAAACTTTACACCCATGGCACTTGAGGCAGTGACACAGAGCCACTTCTGCTGCCACCCCACGGGAAAAGTGCTCTCGTGGTCACCGTGCCAAAGGGCAAGTCCCACTGAGGGGACAGTTTCAATGGCCGACTCGCAAGATTGTCCATGGTTGACTTGGGCTTTGCAGAGCCAAGTCGACCTCCTCACCGCTCAGAGACCAACCACTAAGAGGTGGGTTGGCCTGTCCATCCCAATGACACCCTCAGGAGCCACGTTGACCAGCTCATTGCTGAGACAGTCCCGAGTTGGGCTGAGCTCCTCACCCTTCCGGGACTCCTGGAGCCAGGAGACCCGCTGAGCACCACAGGACTAGTGGAAGGGGCATTGCCAAGGTGGACCCRGTTCCTTCCAAACTCACCCTCCCAAGACCATTCAGGTACTTTGGAGATCTTCCCCTTCTCCCTTTTTATTTGTACACATTGTTTTTTTGCTTGGTGGGCGCTCTGGTGGGAGAAGGCGCGAGACAACCGCGCCCACTGGAATGTGTCTGGAAGCGCGGCCACCCCAGCGAGGCGGTCAGCATGCCCATTGCCTTCCACCAGAGGAGCAGGCAATGCCGTAGGAGACCTGATATGCGTTATAAAGCGAGGAGCACGGAGATGATCCAAATAGGCTCCTTCTAGTCAGTCAACCCGTCCTGCAACACGTGCTGGGTCAGAAACAATATTAATCGCTTGTGAAAACACGCGAAAAAAGTGAAGTGCTGCCACACGCTCCGCAGTGTGCAAAGTGTCCGTAGACTAGAACGTCCCGCCACCCCCGCCTCGGGAGCGCTCRGCTGCCGCCAGCCTTTAAGGCCAGCCTTAAAGTAAAATAGTGGGAGGTTTGTGCTGTGTGCGGGAAGGGGAGGGAGAAGGYGGGGGGTTAAACCCGTTAGCAGCTGCTTTAATGACCTTGCTGCCGCTTCCACCGCTTCCCTGTGCCATGGAGGAGGAGGAGTATTTCAGAATATTTAAGGTTGGAAGGGACCTCTACAGATCATCTAGTCCAACCTTCCTGCTCAAGCAGGCACACCTAGAGCATGTGGCACAGGGTGGCATCCAGGCRGGTTTTGAAGAGGAGGAGGAGGATACGTCGCTTTTTGGTGGCCACGGGATTGCAGATCTCCTCAGGATCTCCACCTCCTGGAGCGGCTTTAAGGGGGATGCCCCAGTGTTCCTCACCCAGGTGCCCAGCTTCTCTTCCTCGCTCTAGGAGTTGTTAGGCACTTCTCTCATTCCCTTTCCCTTTGAAGGAGCCATCTCCTGCTGCTTCACATTCCTAGCTGCTGGGTGCACATATCTCTCATGCTGCCAGAGGCCGCTTTTTTTCTGAAGGTGCCGGCCACGTTCTTCACGCTGCCACTTCTCAGGCTCTTCCCAAGCTCCTTCTTCAGGTCCAAGCTGGGCCCCTTGGATGGGATTAACCACATGCGGAAGAGCGGTTTTGGGTCCAGAGGGAGAAGTCAGCCCCGTATCTTCTACCTTTCCTTCCAGAGCTTTCTGGTCTCCAGTCATCACAGATGATCTGGCAGGTTCCAGCACCTCGTAAACCTCCGGCAGGTCTTTAAGGCAACCGTGGGATGACTCAGGAATGCTCCCATCCCAGCTGACAAAGTCGGAGTTATAGAAGGTCAGGCTTTGAGGGAGATGAAACACCTCCTCTGAGGAGACAGCTCTTGGGATATTCCTTATGGGTTCACGCGTTAATTCTCCCGTCTGGGTGGCTGTCGAGACGGAATGGACAGCCTGCCATCTTGAAGGGTTGGTCARCATGTCTGCGGGGCTGCAGGACACAACCAGAAGAAGCAGCCCCCCAAGTTCAATGGCTATGGCTTTAGGGAATCCTCAGGCAAAGGCCTTGGGACGCACCAACGTGCTCTTTTCCCCTCCTTGAATCACTTTCGATTCACCTCGTGTTACTATCGAGTGGTCAGTGAAGCCAGGCGATAGGCTGGAAGTAACTAGAACACCACACAAACAAAAACAAAAAGAAAATGCTGGGGCAGAGGCTAACTCGGTTGCCCAAGAATGGGCATCCAGCAGGACACCCAGCACCCACAAAATCCCACCCAGAGCATGGCAGGGAGGTAGGATCCACCCCGGATCTCCTGCCGCCTTGCCCTCCACCGCCCCAACTTCCCGGATCTCAATCCTCTGCTCACAGCAGTGCCCAAACCCCCAGGGTACGGACATCTTGCTGCTCCTCTCGTGCCTCCGGCCACCTGCAGCGGGCTGTTTTGCAAAGCAAACACGCAGAGCGATGCCCATGAGGAGCACGGGTTTCCCGCTCCATCCACAGCTGCCGTTCCCACCTCTYGGGTGGCTCCAACAGCCTCCTTGGGGCCTTGGAGATCCCTCCCCCACTGCCCAATCCACGGGCTCTGCCACCCACACCATCCCATGCAACACACGGCGGACACTCGGCATCCACCCCACATCTCCTGCCGCCTCTCCCTCCACCCGGCCCGTCTCCTCCAATCAGAAGCTGCGGAGCAATTACCCCATTGCTCAGGGATCATCCCGTTATCCCTCATCAGCTCCCGCCGTGCTGCAAGGAAACCCACCCCGATGACGTGGGAGCTCCTGGGAGCTCGTGGGTGCCCCCTCACCCAGAGCGAGCAACCCCGGGATGAGGCTCCCCRCGTCCCCTTGGTCCCCTTGTGCCCACGGAGGCATCTCCGCAGCAGCACCGGCCGCCTCCAAGGCACGGGAGAGGCAGAGCAGAGGAGATTGGAGAAGTCCTCACCGTCCAGAAGGTGGGCAGAGCAGCAGGAGCAGCACCGAGAGGTCACTGCTGGGGGACAGGGCGCCGGCCGGGGCAGGACTGGAGGCTGGACGCGCTCTGGTGCAGCCCAGGGGCCCCTTTGATCGGCGAGTCCTTGTGAAAACACACGAGAACAGTGAAGCGCTGCCGCACGCTCCGCAGTGTGCAAAGTGTCCGTGGACTCGACTGTCCCGCCGCCTCCCGCCTCGGGAGCACTCGGCTGCCACCAGCCTTTAAGGCCAGCCTTAAAGTAAAATAGTGGGAGGATTTTGCTGTGTGCGGGAAGAGTAGGGAGAAGGCGGGGGGGTGAAGCCCGTTAGCTGCTTTAATGACCTTGCTGCCGCTTCCACCGCTTCCCTGCGCCAGGGGGAGGAGGAGGATACGTCGCTTCTTGGTGGCCGCGGGAGGCAGGCGGAGGAGATAACGAAGGAGCCGCCCCGTCAGCTCCTGGCCTTGGGCTCCTGCCTCTTCCTCTGCACCGTGACCGCGTTTCGTCAGCAGGATCATACATTGCATGGGAGTCGGTGTCGTTCTGGTGATCAGCTCCCAGTCACGGGGCACAAACCAGTGGCACTCTGCTGTGTTCTCCAGTAAGTTCATGGTAAAGGAGCTGTCAGCCCACTCTCCAGCACCGGCTTTCGGAGTTCCCGTGTTGCGTTGTGCTCTACAGGCTGATATTGCGGAGCCTCATTCCACGAGTGCATGACTGGGGAAGCAGACAGCGCTTCTCCATCCCCCGCTCTCCTGGCTCCTCGGGGCACCTCAGCGCAGCCGTCGCGCGGGTCGGGCAGGAACAGACCTGGCTCTTGGGCAGGGTCCACAGGTCCTGGATACGGGGGGTTGTCACGCGCATCCACACAAGCCACAGCGCGTTCCGCACCTTGATCCGTGCCTTGATCCGGATCAGGTAGGGTGGTGAGCGGATACTGGGGCCCATGTACCGCAAAAGGTGCCCCCGGGGGAGCCCTCGGCAGGGCGTCCTCCCCTGTGGGAATGGAAACAGCTTTGTCCCGCAGTGGGAGCGGGGACAGCTGCTGGCACCACAACATCTGAAGCTCCTACCGACTTTCTTAGTGCTTCATAACGCACCCTCCATGCGCACATCATTGAGGCAGCGTTTAAACCACCTCGCCTTCC